GGGTTGGTCCGCGGAGAAGCCCGATGAAGGCAGAGCCGCAGATAGGCACGGTCAGCGGATCATATGATATGCACATCGGAGTTCTTTGATCGTGGCTTTCATTTGAGTACAGCTTCATATCGAGGACTAGCATGACCAGCATATTCTATAAACCCTTGATTGGTCTTGGACCACCTGCTGGCCGAAATTCCCATGGCCCCAAGTCATGTCCGAACGTGGCAGGTGTGACATAGTCCTCAGATATCAATGTCGATACCAAGGTCCATGGCTGCAATCACTTCGTCGTCCATCTTCTTCCGTGAAAACTGTCCAAACGCCTTCTTCTCCTTGACGCCGTTCATGGGCGTTCCAGCTCTGCTTGTGCCATTTCTCGGCGTGCCCGCGCGACTTATGTCGCTGCCATCGCCAAACAGATCATCCACGCTTCCAGGCACCTTCAGTCCGTTCTGCGCCGCCGCATCAGCCGCCGCTTTCTTGCGCTCCTCTTCCTCTTTCAGTTTAGCGATGGCTGCCAGCCGAGCCTTCTGCTTCGCCACACTCTCAGCGATCAGCGCCTTCCGGATCTCCTCGCTATTGGTTTTCCGGTTGGCTTTGTTGAGCTGCGCCAGTCGTGTCTGCTGATCTTCCTTCTTGATAGGCGATGCTGTCTTGGAAGTACTGACGACTCCGCTGGCGTCCAAGTCGGCCAAGTCCTTGTTACAGCGGGCCACAGTTGCATCATCGCCCCTTCTAGCAGCATCATCGCGTCGGCGCGTGATCCGTTCGCGGTGGTAGTCCGTGTATGCCTTCTGCTTATGCCACTTCTTATCCATCTTTGCTTGAATATCGGCTTCAGTCCACTGATGATTAACCATGGACTTGAGCTCTGCCAGCTTGCCATCGATCTGGCGTCGGGTAGGAAATCTAATCCCGTCCTCGGAAAGAGTGTTTTTGAATTCGGCAAATTCCGAGCTAGTGAATTTGCCATCGGAGCAGGCGGCGAAAGGGTACTCTCGCTCCTTCTTTCCGTTGGCAATGACCACGTATTGGTCTGTGAAAACCTTTTTGCCATTGTGCCCGTCCATCGTGTATGGACGACCGTCGTGAAAGCCTATTTTTGTTAGTACGAATTGGTTATATAGGTAGAAGCGAGTCTAACCTTTGACCAGTCCGATGCGATACTTCGGGCCAGTCCCGTCCTGTCCACAGTTGACACGACAATAGCATCCCCTGACCGCATTCTCGAATGGAGGATCGTACAAGAACTTCGAGAAGTTCGAGCGCCCCACGCGAACGCGGTCGAAGTCTTCCACTTCCGGAGGAGGTTCATCTTTGCGGGGAGGTGGGGAAGCACGACGACCATCGTCCCACTCGACCTCGCTCTCACCGGAAGCGTCGCGATCTGAGTAATCACCACCCGCCGAAGGAGAACGTTGATCACGACGTCGTTCTTCGCCCTTTGCTCTTTGCGCGCCTTTGAGCTCGCGCTGGCGCTTGTATGCCTCAATCTTATCAGTAGCTTTTGTCTTTTGCCGGCTGCTTTTTCGCTGGCCATCGTCGAGATCTGCCGCTCCGGCCTTGCGTTTCTTGCCATCGAAATCGTCGTCGCGCCGGTTTTGCTGCAAAAGCCGTCTGAGTTGCTGATCTTGAGTGCGTCTTTGTATTTCTGCAGCACGCTCAGCCAAGATTTCTTCTCGTTCGATTTCAGTCATTGCCATGATGTCGGCTCGATCGGCTTCAGAGCGGAATTTGCCCTCGATGGGATAGAGGGGAGCATCGTCGTCGAGACCAGCATCTGAGGGCGAACGTGCTTTACGTGGGGATGATTCGACGTCAGAGTCTCCAAAAGAGCTGCAGTCACAGTCAGCACGTTGAATTGCCATCAGACGCACAAATACTCACTCTTCCTCATCTGAATCCCTTTGCGCTCGTCGTGCCCTACCGCGAGACTTCAATTTTTGTGCAACGCCTCGGCGCGGGGGGGATCGTTCAATGGTTCGGCTGGTGTCGTTCTTCCCTCGCTCCTGGGAAGAGGGAAGAACATTATCCTCTTCCTCAGATGAGCTCTCGTCTCCGCCAGCTAGGGCGAGGAGCTCTGCATCAAGCTCGTTGTCAGACATGTTGATGAGTAAAGGGACCCGTGTGCGTCAAGTGGAAGGCAGCAGTTGTACAGAGCTGAAATTGCGCTGTTGTGTACTGTCCGTCAGCTGATTGTGTATTCTCGATATATCTGCGCGAGTCCAATAATCAGAGCAGAGCAGATTTGGCACGGAATAGAGGTGACTGAGATGGGAATCCAATTGGACGGCCAATATGACTTATGTCAATGGCGGTCCAGTGAGGAAAGTTGGACGGAGAGACAGAGACACAATAGGATCCTGAAGATTGAATGTAGTCCAACCACAGGCCGTTCTTGGCAACGCAGCCACACATTTCGCCCACCGTCACAAGCTCGGAATTGATGATTTCATCGCCGCAGATATCTTTACTCCAATCATTCGCGAATACGAAAGTACTCTAATTTACGCAGGACAAATGACAATCCGACCTCCTGCACGCTCGCTGCAACGAGCATGCATAACACCAAGCAGAGCAGTGCTTAATCAAGTTGCTCGAATCACCTCTTCGTCGCTGTCTCCAGATACCGAGCCCAAGCCAGATTCGCTCTCGAAGCCCGTCAGTGGCAAGCGGCAGCGTCCATTGACCGCCGAGCAGAGGAAATTTCTAGACAGCGCAGTAGGAAAACTTCTGTCAGCTATCGTTCAAGCTCCTCGCTCATACATCTCAGCTTCGTGTCAATCATGCCGGTGAACTAGCCGCAGTCCGCATCTATTCCGCCCAAACGCCACCAGTGGTCAAAGCGCACCCTCATTTGCGTCCGCTGATGAAGCATATGTATGACCAAGAGGCTGGACACTTTGCTAAGTTCAACGAGCTACTGGCCAAGCACCGCATTCGACCTACGATCATGTATCCAATATGGCAAGTTGCAGCAACCACCTTGGGCTGGACGACTGCGGTCCTGGGCCGCGAGGCGGCCATGGCTTGCACCGAGGCTGTTGAGACAGAAATAGGAGAGCATTATAATGGACAGGTAAGGGAAATGCTGGCTTGGATCAAGGAGATTGAGGAAAGGGGCGAAGTGCCGGACGAGGAGCTCACTGAGCTGGTCAAAGACATTCGCCGGATCCGTGACGAGGAGCTGGAGCACCTCGACCATGCGGTGCAGCATGATGCCAAGGAAGCCAAACCATACGAGCTTCTGACAAATGTTATCCGCGGCGGTTGTCGGGCGGCAATCTGGATCACGGAAAAGGTGTGACCGGAATACAACACTTGCTTATGCTATGGCAGACATACTTCTGCTTCCAACCTTCGAACTGTCTGTTGAAGACACTCCAGCGCCTACCATAGCGGAATGTGTTTCGCCCGCCGTCTAAAGTAACCTGGCCTGGCCTGACAGGTTGATTCGAGAGCCTCAACATGTCTTGAGAGACAGCGCAGTAATGTGCGGGTAGTTCAAGCTGTTCACTCGATCACGCCCGAAACCGCCTGTATAACAATGTCACACATATAGGCAGTGTTGCATCTCTCGACGTCGTCAACTCCCCGCTGCATAAAGTGGCGCCAGAGACAAACCCTAACGGTCTGAACAGGCCAACAGACCATGTTCTGAGTGGCGTTCCCAATTGCTTCTTCTTATCAAAGACAAGATGCCGAGCTGTTTTAGGCTCGAATAGCCTCAATTTATTCGAGCCTCAATCCAAAAGTGACAGACTGATATCACCAACAACATCGACATCACCTCCAACCACCGATATCTTCACGAGGCAACGTTGATCAAGACAGGAGCAATCTTCGATTGAATATTATCCAGTAATCAATTCTCCAGCTCGTACATATAATCACTTCCTCTTCTCGCTCAGTGCTTTGGGCCAGTGTCGTGGATGGCGTTTGGTACCGCCTTCTCGACCTTCTCCGGCAATGCCTCCTGCAGCGCTTGCGGCACTTTGCTGTCTCCTACAGCGTGGCTGACCTTGCCTGTCTGCTGGTTGGAACCGGTGTTGTGGACCGAGTCCGGTAGTTGGTGCTCGACGCTGGCAGGCACCTGTTGCAAAGAAATCAGCAACGATCATTGTCGACGGTATCGCAGAGCGCCTACCTTCTCCTGGACCTTGCCCGGGACCTGCGATTCAGTGGCGTGCGAGACGCCTTGTCCTCTTTCGTTCTGTGCCATGGTTGCGGGTGGTATTGACTTGTATATAGTTGATGTCTTAAGATGTGTGAAGATGTAGAATTGCACTTAGAATCAAGGCCAATTGACCTATTTATCGTTCGCCATCTTTCATAGGCAACAGCAACAGCACCATAAGATGACGTCCGGATGAGGGGTAAACAACACTGTGACGCGCACATCGACCATATCAGACGAGGCGCAGCGATACATCGTCACAACGCACTCGAAGGATCATGTGTACGTCTACTTTGCATGAGAAGACGCTCAATACGGACGTAAAAAGCGAAGACACGTTGTTGATATTTCGCGCCCGATCACGAATTCATGCGTACGCCTAAAGTCATCGGAGCGTCATATCAGGGCGAAGGGCGACGGCTTTCGGGGGAATTGTGCCCCGCCACGCCCCCGCGGTATTCCGCAGCCGCATTGTCCGATAAAATGCATTACGAAGACGCAGGACGAGTCTGAACTTGCATGTGATGGTTTAAATCAGATGAGGAATCTACATTGTGTCATAGTGATGGTTCGGATCGAGCCGAGAGACATGTGGTATGGACCTGCATAGCTGGATAATCCGTGGATGGCGCGGAGTGAAAGCCAGACAAAAGCCATTTGGCACGCGGGCATCGATCACGAGTGAAGCTCTAATGTATGAGAGGCGTAACAGTAAACACATCATACATGAGCAATAAGCATGGAATAACGGTTCGAAAAGATTTGGTGGGATCTGAAATGCTATATATATTGTTCAAAGAGAACCGCAAAAAAATGTAGGACTGAGAAGCGACACCAGCAGGATTTGAACCTGCGCTTCCGAAGAAAGTAGATCACGGGCCACTTGGATAGAACAAGTGGGTATTCGAGTCTACCGCCTTAACCACTCGGCCATAGTGCCTGAATTGTGAAACAAGCGAATCCTAACAAGTATATAATGTCTTGAGAGAGCTGTTTTCTCCATCAATCTTCATTTGTGCCAGAAATGCTATTTTAACGAGTCCGTACGTCTCCAAGTGAGCTCGGGATAGGGTGCGTTCAACAAAAAGCATGAAAGTTCTTGTTTTGTGCCTGAGAGCGCGAGATTACGCATCAGCAACACCCGGCTGAACAAGACCGAGCGCTCCACCTACATTTGCCGTAATTAGAGCAGCGTAAGCAGCACGTCCATGACAAGTCAGCGACACAGAACACAAATAAACAAAGAGGCAGGAGTTGATCTGGAGTAGTGTATTCTTCGACATCTAACTCAGCAATAAAACTATTATCTCTCAATCATACGATTCTCATATCGACACTTGGAAAAAGAGCAAGAAAGACCAAGTCATGTCCACTCCTTTGCATCGATTTGTCGACGATACGAGCGATAGACGAAGACAAGATGAAAAAAAATCCAGCCAGGGATGTATTTTGATCCCTGCATATTAAAATGTAGGTAAATGCTGATCGAGATACGACTCGAACAGAAGAATTGAAGCGTTTTTGGGATCGAGTCCCTAGCGTAACGCCGTGCTGTGGAGTTTTTCCTCCCAGGTCAATGCGACCGTGTGATGCCATCGAGTTTTCGTGTAAGGAAAAAAATGAGAGAAGAGACCAAGGAGGGAAGCGGGTTCTCCCTCCTCAGCCCAGAGGTCGTGAAGATTGTTCGTAAAACATATCGGACAGAGAATCAGAAAAAGGTGATATAGAGCCGGCCGAGGGAGATTTATTTCTCCTCTTCAACCTTGTGCTCATCACCGAAAGGACTAGCAGTGCGCTTATCCGATCCGCCTAGGCCACGGTGCGTAGGGACTTGTGACGCTCGTCGTGTTGCTTCCTCGATGACGGCGGACAAAGTCGTCGTAGTTGTGTATTGACTACCAGCACGCGCGAGGTTCGATGTATCACTAAATGGACCATAAGTCGAGACCGAGTCGCGAAGTAAAGATTGTCTGGCACGAGCGTGAGGTTCCTCATCGTCGTCTGACGCGTCAGTTTCCACACTAAGTGGACTTCTTATTGACGGTTTTGCCGATGAGGCATCGGAAATTTGGCGAACTGGGAATCGGCCTGCTCCTTTCTTGGTTATGGTGACAGCTGTAGGTTTGGAGAATTGCCCATTTGAAGTACCCGCACCAGGCATCATTAGACGCGGGCCTTCTGACGCTGTGGTCGCGAGACTCGCTGGTGACGACGGAGTAGGCGCAGACGATCCCGACTTCACGGAGACCATATTTGGTCTCGTCATTACTACTTGTTGTGCTGGCATCGGGTTTGCCACGGCGTCGTCGCGGTAGATATCTGACGCGATGGATTCGCGCGCCAATGATGGCGAAATACTATTCCGGCTGAAGTAGGTACTGCGGTTGTCTAGTGTTGAAGTGCCTGAATAGGCTGAATTCCTCAGATCACCTGGGGAGAAGAAGATTGCACTGCCAGTGCCGCGAGAGTCAGTTGAACGGGCCGCCGGGATAGGAGGAACTGGTGGTGTGGTTCCATCGCGGTTGGTGACTCCAGGAATGAATGCGATGGGAATCATGTTTGAAGCCCTGCTGAGTACACTAGACGCGACAGAGTGCACCGTGTGGACAGAGGCACGGGCATCTCTCTGTTCCCTGAATTGAGACTTCAGCTCTGAAGGATGCTCGTTCGCTTCTTCTTCCCATTCTTCGTCGTATTCCTCGAGTTCCCTCTTCGGCCGAATCCAGAACCACCAGGCAGCAAATGTGATGATTGCAATGAAAGCAATGCCTCCGACGACCCCACCAGCGATGGCCCCAACATTAGGTCCAGCCGACGCCGTGGTGGTACCAGTAGTCACTCCTTGTGAGACACAAACCATCTGGGCGCATTGTGTGCAAGACTTTGGGATCATTGAACAAACGGAGCCGGCAGCGCATGGTGGACATGATGGTGTGGTGTTGGGACAGGCGAGACAGTCACGCTTGAACAGCGACCGGCCTAGAAGGTTGTTAGCAAACTCATGTACGTCAAGTCGGTGTATATCGAACACTGACCTGCGTCGAGAGTCCCCATGGCTGGTTACTGCCTCTAGGCAGTGGGAAAGGCACAGAATCGACACGACACGCGGGACGGCCTGGAGACTGGAAGTCCTTGTTGGAGTCGCAGGTCGTGCTATCGGCAAGGCATGAACGAGTGTAAGGCGGTCAGTGTGGTGAACTAAGTCGAAGAGAAAGCAGAGAGACAAAAGGTGTCGATCAACGGATTCTTGTCAGTTGTCAGGCTGTCGATCGAACAGCTGGCTCGGGCGTGGTAGAGTGAGGGCGAGCGAGACGGCGAGGCTCGTTGATCGGCAGATCCTCTAGACGGTTGTCGAAAGGGGCGGCCGCGCGAAAGGAGGAGATGACCGTTACAGCCAGGATTTGTTGGTGTAAATGAGCGGCGTAAATTCGAAAAGAAAGGCGCGATAGTGTTGGAACGAAAGTAATGCAAGGCGAGAAGGCAGACGGTCGCAAGGCGTGGTGGTAAGAGAAAGAGAAGTCCAGCAGTCTCAGTCTCACGGGCGGCTCGGAGAGAAAGAGAGGGAGTGAAGGCGAGAGACAGGCAGACAGAGGCAGAGACAGACGCGAGCGTGCAGAGGGCCAGAGGGTGAGCGAACCAAAGATTGGGCGACAAGTGGGTCTCGGCCAGTTACACCGCAGTGCGACTTTGGGTCGGTAGCCTTTTGGACTTTCGGATTCTGGGTGAGAATCCCAGGTTTAGCACCGGAAAGCGCGCGTCCGGCTGCAGGAGGACACGGGATGGCGCGGGCCTTGTACCTTCTGGGTCTGGTGTTGTGGGCCTGTAGTGGCCCCTGGTCTCCGTTCGGGCAAAGCGCGGCCACCAACAAACCCTGGGCTCAGGCACCGCCTGATTCTATTGTCATCCCGGCTCACCCAGAATAACCCGCCCATGGCGCCCTGGGGTTGCGGTCGGAATCTGCTACACGCGCCCGTCGTATCACGATTGCGCTAGACTCCGTGCGCCAAAAATCATCCGAGTCACTTTCGGGAGGGCATCCGATGTGTCTATTTGCAAGTTTCTATGCACAAACAGGAACACGACGAATCGTCACGGGACGAGAAGAGCCTGTCGATCATATGTTGGCAGTAGGACCGCGTGGTTTAATTACTGTAGCGAAAAAGCCCACAATTTGCGTCCAACTGCGGTCCAGCAGGCGGAGCGCATATCCCCACTCCCAAGGCCGAGCCTATCGAATCGGGCTCTCGAATTCTCAGCCTGATTGACTACCTTTTCCGGTGTAGTGCATATTTCTGCCCACCATGCTGTGCCATTCGCTACGTGAACGAATCGTACACCCCCAGCCTGTTGTATTCGCTTGGCGGTTCTGTTCGTAAGTCTTGATTGTGCAGATCTCCGATATGGGTTGAACATCCGGAGACAGACAGTTTTGACACGTCCTTCCTATGTCCGGCAACCATGTCAAAGCACGGCTGTAACTTATTGTTTAGGCCGTCATGTCCTCCGCATGCATCCTGTTGGAATGCAAGCCGCCCTATCGCTGTAGCGTAATGACGCATCGATGACACTTCGTAGACCAACATGCCCGCCATACAATATTGTCATGGCCGATGTTGCTCAGCCAATATTCCCCACTCATCTCCCGTCATGCTGTCTCCTCGGATCTTGCGTTGGCGGATGACCTGGCGGCCCATGACTACCGTGAGGTCCAGGGCTGGGACCATGTCCGTTCACGTTCGGAGGAAATGGTATATTCGGCATATTCGGTGGTGGGAAAGGCATGCCTTGTGGAGGGGGAAATGGCATGCCCTGTCCGGGTGATCCAGCTGGTCCACCAGGCGGAAACGGTGGCGGCATACCCGGCGGCATAAAAGGCATTCCGCTTGGAGGGAATGGTGGCATCCCACGGCCACCGGCTACATAATGGTTAGTTTCCTTGTTCTTGGTCTTTTGAAAGCTGAGTTGGAGAGACGTACGACCTGGCGGGCCGGGCGGGAATGCGCCTGGCGGCGGACCCATACCCGGTGGTGGTTGGAACCCTCCAGGGGGTGGGAATGGCATGTTTGGAGGCATTGCGCCCGGAGCTCCCGCCATGCCGGGTGTAGTGCCAGCTTCGAGGTTGGCCTGTGTGATAGCATCGATGACGGATTGCTGGCGCTCGTGGCCGATCTCTGGAACGTGCATCAACAAGCCTGGTCTAGCATCCAAATGGGAGAGCTCATCGTACGCTGATAGTAGTCTACTACGTTGCGCAAGTGGTTTCGACCACTGTTGTGCGCCTTGCGGACAGACATGGAGTCATGGGTCAGGTAGACATCGCAATAATCGCAGAAGTGTGCTGAAATGGTCAGTCTGGGGGCTTGAAGGGCGGTGAAAAGCAGACTTATATTTCGGCATAATGGGCGAGCTGTTTCGAAGACCTCTTTGGCGCCAAATGCTGAGTTGACCACGTCTTGCTGGTTGAAGCTGTATAGCGAAGTCCAGAAGATTTCGAGGAGCTGCTCCGCGGAGACTGAGCACAGACGCTCATTGGTCAGAGCGTATGGTACAGGCATTCACGTCTTGGCATGTCACAACACCTTTCCACCGCACAGCACATGGCTGCACTGTTCACAACAACAAATCAAATCAATGGTTGCATGAATCAGGTTGGACCGATGGCAAAACAGTCGCCTTGAATTCATTCATATAATTCACACAAGCGACACAATACTATTGCCAGACGCCTCATGGTGTACATGCAACGCACATGACACAAGTTTCCGCCACAAGAACCATTCCCCCGCACCTGAAGTCCCAGACTGGTCCCCACACTCTACGCGGGAGGTTGACCATCCGGTCAGACCCAAACCCTCGCCTCAACGGGGTACGGCATTCAGCTGTTCCCAGCCATGAGCAACTCGGTCTGGAGCTCGATGAACTACACTCCACCTCGTGGTA